TCTGATTTAATATGAATTTTATAAATACTAATTTCTGAAAAATAAGTTTATATCCACTTACACTATACGAGCTACAAACTAGGCCGATCGGTAAGTCTTTTCAATTTCTTCGTCACTACTTGAAATACGTTACAAAATAACTAATTTAATCACAATTAAAATCAATAAACCCTTTATCTCTAATGATATAATAATTAAACTAAATTTCCTGAAACTTGCCAAATTTTCCTAAATTTATTTTAATCAATTGGAGCTAATTCTACTTTCATCCCATTCATAAAAATAATTATTCTTTCCAATAGCAAACTAGTAACCATAATTCCACCCATTTAAACATTCATCTTGTTTCTCAACTTCATGCTTTCATATGAGTATTCCATCAATATAATCATTTCCATGAAATATTCTTACTTAAGAATCCAATTAAAAATTCTAGGGTTTGCCCAAAAAAATTTGATATTTCTTACCTTAATTCAAATGGAGACGAACCAATCAAGAAGCTTGAGCTATAGATCATAATCCTTTCTCTAAATCTGAAATTTCGAACCAAATTAAAACCCTAGAAATTTAACATAAAATTTATCTACCCCTTGAAGAAAATAAAGAGAAGAGAAAAATGAAAATAAACCTTAAACTACCTCTTTCCCTTCTTCTTCCTCTTTTTCTTTTCCTTTTTCTCCTTCTTTTTCTTCCCTTTTTTTTTTCTGCCAATTTTTTTCTCCTTCTCTGCCGGCTTACAGATTTTTCCTATTTGTGCGTTGAAATGAGAAATGATTTATTTGTATATAATCAGTGGCCACATATATAAGATTTTTCCCAAATTGCAAAGAAAGTCCTCCATGTTCCATTTATAATAACATTTAGTTCTTCTAACTTAAAAGTAAATCCTAAACTTTAAATTTTATCCACCTTAAACCTTCCAATTATTTTTCAATATAAATTAAACCCCAACAAATAATTTATTTTATTTTAGTCCCTATTTGATTTTGACTTTGACGAGTCAATCTTTGAAATTTGACTAAACAAAAATGGGTTGTAACATTCAGAGTCATACAACTTTCGTAACAGACTATATTAAAAGATTTTTATATTTTTTCAATAAAGATATGTGCTACGCTTTGACTTAGTCCTATAACTAGTAGACCAACCGTCACCTTCTTAGGAAACCATTTGCCTTTGAATTTCTTTCCTATATAAGCTATCCTCTCTAGGTACAAGTACAGTACTTCAGTAGATTTTGCTTTATTTAGTTCATTTTTAGTTTAGGTTTATTTGTAAAATAAAAAAAAAGAAACATTACCTACTATAGAGATGGTGTGATTTAGTTCTTTTTTTTTTTTTTTTTTTTTTTTTTTTTTTTTTTTTTTTTTTTTTTTTTTTTTTTTTTTTTTTTTTTTTTTTTTTTTTTTTTTTTTTTTTTTTTTTTTTTACTCTCAGTCTTACGAGAAAAACATGTGATTTAGGAAAATTTTGAAAATATATCTATGCTTGTTTGCGCACCAATGACTCCCTTGCCGAAAGTGCCCACGACTTTTGACCATATCGCAAAGTGGAAAGCACTCAACCTCCGTACGAGAAGGGAAGACTAGTGGATTGGCTCGGGGGGCAAGTTCAGTGAGCAATGAAGGCTCATTTGACAACCAGCAAGCAACAAGC